ACCTTTGTGATTTTTTGCCTATATAACCCTGGAACTGTGACCAAATAACTGCTATGAGATTTGGGAATGGCCCCTCATAGTCCCGGATTGCGATAAATGTGAATCCTTAATTCGACTTCTTGAGGCGTCCTTCTGTGATTCTCGGGGTACATTACAACACTAATATGTGCCCCAGTTCCTGTTAACTGGTCAAAATTAGGTCCAGGAGGATTTTATTGGGCGTTAATCAACGCCACTCTCCTGGCTTCTTCCCACCACCAGGATTTAAATTGCAGATATTGCCCTGGGGCTAATACTGCCTTAGCTATAGCATCCTAATCATATGGAATTAATTTATAATCTGAAGCCAGAGCTTGTATTATTCCTACTGTATATGGGGCATTAGCCCATAATTAGCAACTGATTCTTTTAACAGTTTTATCACTCTTAACTCTACATGTTGTACCCATGAGGGTATTTAGCATTAGCAGCTCTTTGTGTCCTCAGGATGGGGGTGGAGGCTCAGCCGCTAAAGCCGGATTAACGGCTAGTGCCCTTTTACTTTCACTTTTCGGCGGCAGCGCAGCCAACTCCTGAGGACTTTTATTCTCTTTCTTTTCCTTAACTTGGGGCGAATGTAAAAATCACCATCCGTCTCAGCGGAAGATGAAACATCCAGCTCTGAATCGCTGGCTGAGGCTATGGTTTTATAACCTTCTAACTTATTTTGAAAGCTAGTTTTTTGTTCCTTTCTTGACTCCCCGGGTTCTGCAACTGCATCTGGGAGTGGCACAGGGGGGTAGCAATCTCTCAGGAGGGAGAGGCTCAGGACTTAAACACCCAGCTCCTGGTGCAACACTTCTCGACCTCAAAGGAATTTTTTCATAATCTTCAGAATCAGACTGAAAAGGCTGTAAAGCTAACGTTACTAAATTAAAAATAGCCCATACTTCAGCCTCTATAGCATTTCCCTGTGGAGGAGCCCGCCTTAATGACTTTCCAACTTGTTTCCACAACTTAAGATTCAACTGCAGTTTTCCTTCTGGGTGAAACCAGTAACAGTGCTGCTGAATTACTTTTAACAATTTTTTAAAAGCCTCATCCTTCACTTTTACCCCTGAGCTCTGTAATAATGATCGCAGAACAGTGATATATTGACTCTGTAATGACGGGTAATTCCCCATGACTCTGTCTTCTATTCCCGAAAGTTTCAAGTACTTCTGCGCGGCCAAATCCCTTTCGGTCCTGCCCGTTCCCGATAACTCACCTTCCGGTCCCTGTTCGAGGCACCAGATGCAGGTGTTCTGCAGGTGAACGGTGACACAGAGATGAGCTCGGCAAGCAGGATTGAGTTTAGAGAAGCAGAGGGCTACTGCTCATTCAGGCAAGTAGCAAAACCTCCAAAGTTCTCATGGCTTTTATTGGGGAGTACAGCAAGTAACAATGACAAACAGGCATGCCAATGAGATCATATGAGCTAAGTTATACATTAAACTATTAATTTCCTATATTGTTCAAAGACCTTTTCAACCTGCAGCTGTGTACCCTTCCTTGTACTTTCCGTGCCCTCATGGACTATTTATCACCCAAGGAAATTCTGCCTCTGAACAATAAATCTTGTGTGCAAGACTTTGTTCTGATGTGGCCCGCTTGCAGGCCCCCGTCTGTTCTTGGCAGAACGTCCTCTTTTAGTTAACTTCTCTTTTCACTTAACCAGCTACAAAACTAATGTCTCTTTCCATCCACCAGACCATTTTTCATAACTCTTATTATTCTAACTTTTACCCCAATAATACTAAAATGTATAAAACAGTTTGTCTCCACCAGGTTACAAGCCCTACTTGTACTCAGAAAATACCACCCTTAGATACCATCACAACCTCCTTTTGTGCCCAGGCCTCATCATCCCTGACCCCCAGAGCAAGGACAATAGGCCAAGTACAAATGTAAAAACTCACCAGGGAAAAAGCTCCAAATGCCTAGCAAGGGGCAAAACTGAAAACACACACACACACACACACACACACACACACACACACACACAAATACCCCAAAAAACAAAAAACTCGTTTCCAGAATAACTACCCTCCCACTAGCCTTCCTGGAAAATAGCCCCTCTCGCATATCAGCCAAATAACTAATAAATTATATACCTAGACTTCCACATTCCCGCAGATTATTAGTAACAACATTCCCCCACCAGGCACAAACTATCCCATCCCAACAGTGCAAGATATTTTTTAACTCATTACAGACCTCTGGCTCCAGGGCTATTTACAGGATTTCTCTTCAAATCACATCTATTTGTTTACCATCATAGTGCTTCTAAATCTCACAGATCTCTTATATCCCTAAAATGGTTTCCGTACTCACCCTAGACCAGTGGTCAGCAAACTCATTAGTCAACAGAACCAAATATCAACAGTACAACGATTTAAATTTCTTTTGAGAGCCAAATTTTTTAAACTTAAACTATATAGGTAGGTACATTGTTATTAACTTAATTAGGGTACTCCTAAGCTGGCCTTTGCTAAAAACATCCTCAATCTGATTGAGGTACTTTCGTTGAGGTCGACCCCTTCCAACTCTCTCATCCACACTCGTCTTGTATACTTGTTTTGTCTATCTCCTTTCGTTCATCCTCTCTATATGTCCAAACCATCTCAACATACCTTTCTCAATCCTCGACACTACATCTTTTTTCACTCCACAACGTTCCCTAAAATTAACTTAATAAACTTTACTTTTGTCACTCGCGGGCAATTTGCGGACGCGACTAGCACTAACCACTGCACAATGAGACTGCTGACTGACTGGCTCACTCAACTTGTGCATGAATCACGCGAGCCACCCCTGCGCCACGTCTCCCATCGCCCGACCGACCGACCGACACTCCCCACTTCTTCTAACACCACTTCTTCAAAATAGACTCGCCCAGGCCGAAAACCGACTTCTGCACATGGGCCACAAAGTTTCAATCGCACTGTACGTGCACGCCCACACGTGGTATTTTGTGGAAGAGCCACACTCAAGGGGCCAAAGAGCCGCTTGTGGCTCACGAGCTGTAGTTTGCCGACCATTGACTTAGACTATCTTTTAGCCAAAGAGGGAAGGCTTTGTTTAATTCCTAATACCTCCTGTTGTTTTTATCTAAACTCTACAGGTCAAATAGAGGAAAGCACACAACACATTCTACAGAATACTCAGTGGCTCAAGGAAATCAGTCAGGACAGCATAGAGAAGTCCATATGGTCCAGCCTACATGCAGCTCTGCCCAAATCAACTGGCTTTTACCCCCTTACAGGCCCCCTAATACTATTTCTCCTACTCCTCCTCTTCAGGCCCTACATTTTCAGAATAGCTACCAAATTTATACAAACAAGATTACAAGTCCTAGTTAAGACGGTAAGACAATTTGTCCTTACCCAAGAAAAGGGACCCTACAGGCCTATATTCCAAGAAATAATCTGAATTTACTCCTTAGGCGTCCACGACAGCCCCTCCCATGCATGAAGCAGACAAAGAGAAACAGCAACCCCATCCCCCTTCTTTTTCTTTATATATACCCTTTAAGATGGTGAAAGGGTTGTTAAAGAGAATAAAACGGGGCAGAGAAAGACTTATTGTGCTTAGCAGATATCTTGCAGAAAGCTTGCAGCCTTGAGCACAGCATAGCTCAGATAACCAGCAGACACTTGCCATGGGAGGAACCAAGAACGGACCAGACCCTTATGTCAGCAGCGTGGCTTGCAGCCAGCAAAAATCAATAAAAACCTATTTCTCCCTGCTCTCTTCGCTGATGCCTTTCTCGGTCTCAGCCCACCTGCACTCAGGTGCCTGGAATAAAATCTCTTTTGATACATTATGGCCTCATGTCATAGGTGTGCAACCCCGGCCCACTCCGAACCTTTCAGTACATATATTATGAGTTTTGCAGTAACTAAAATGGTGACATATAATTCTGTAACTGTCTTTTTTGACAGTATCTGGTTTCTAAAACTACTGAAAAATTCTCATCTAATTATTTTACCCACTGTGTTGTATTTTTATATAATTTATTTTTATGTCTTTTTTTGAAAATAGAGAAAAACAATTGCAGATAAAATTCATTCAATATATTAGAGCAGCAAGGGATTTAATAAAGGATATTTTGTAATTTGAAGAATTTTCAAGAGTCCAAAGAATCGGGTTTATGGATTGTATAAGCAAGAAAAAAGGGAGGAAGGACCAAGACCCAGATATGCCACAGAGTTTGTTAAATGTTTTTTCATGATTAGGTTCAGAATATGCATCTTTACATTTATGAATGTTTGACAAATACTATATAATAATGAAACCAAATGTGGGGTGTTGAATCTGAGTTTATTGTTTCACAAAAACAAAGAATGAAGTCATGGACAAAAACAGAGAGCAGAACCAAAGTTTATTGGGAGAAGCCAGTCCTGGAAAAGGTGTAGCTGTGGTTCCAGGAGCAGCCCTGTGTCCAGGGCTTCCTTTACCAGTACATGGCTATAAGCCATGTGGGAGGGATCCGGTCTCCCGCAACAGGACCTTCAGGTATCCATTGTGCACCGGTTGGGGGGGGGGGTGCGTTGGGAAGCGCCCCCCTCCTTTTTTTGGTATATATGATTGTTAGTTTCTGATTGGTCCTTTCAAGAATTTTGCCTTAGACTACTATGTGATTGGTTATCTGCAAGCTGCCTATCTTAGCAACATCCATACATTTTAAAGCTCATGTCTCCCACTAGCATTCTTCCTGCCCTACCCAGTTGGGGTGTCTCAGTAACTCCACCTAGTTTTACTTCCTCTCCCCTTCCCCCACCATGGTCTCTGTCCCTGTCTACCTAGCTTCCCTCTGCCTCCTAAATAGTATTGCTTCAGGCTTTATGTCATGGAGTACATGATGTAATTGTCCTATTATTGGTGATGGTAACTTTAATTACCTGATTAATATATTATTTTCCTGGTTTCTCTACTGGAAAGTTGATATTTTTCTCTTTATAATTAATAAGTGATATGTGAGGAGATGCTTTTATATTTTATTTTTATTAGAGGTTTTTTGTTGTTTTTAAATGTATTTTTATTGATTTCAGAGAGGAAGAGAGAGATAGAAACATCAATGATGAGAGAGAGCCATTGATTGGCTGCCTCCTGCACTAACCACACTAGGGATTGAGCCCACAACCCAGGCATGTGCCCTGACCGAGAATCTAACCGTGACCTCCTAGTTATAGGTCGATGCTCAACCAATGGGCTACGCTGACTGGGCTATTTTTATTGTTTTAATATATATTTTTATAAATCTTTATTGTTGAAAGTATTACATAGGTCCCATATTTTCCCCCATTGCCCCCTTTCCTCCTCCCCCCACAAGTCTTCACCATCCTATTGTCTGTGTCTATGGGTAATGCATATACACATATGAGTTCATTAGTTGATCTCTTCCCACCGCCCCCTTCACCCTCCCGTGCCTTTCCTCTGAGGTTTGACAGTCTGTTCAATGTTTCTATGTCTCTGGGTCTATTTTTGTTCATCAGTTTATGTTGTTCATTAGATTCCACATATGAAAGAGATCTGGCTTATTTCGTTTATCATAATGCTCTCCAGGACCATCCATATAGTGTTGTGAATGGTAAGAGTTCTTTCTTTTTTACAGTTGCATAGTATTCCATTGTATAGATGTACCACAGTTTTTTAATTCATTCATCTGCTGATGGGCACGTAGGCTGTTCCCAAATCTTAGCTATTGTAAATTGTGCTGCTATGAACATAGGGGTACAGTTGTTTATTTTCTCCTTAATTTCCATTGTCCTAGGACAGTGGTCAGCAAACTCATTAGTCAACAGAACCAAATATCAACAGTACAACAATTAAAATTTCTTTTGAGAGCCAAATTTTTTAAACTTAAATTATATAGGTAGGTACATTGTTATTAACTTAATTAGGGTACTCCTAAGCTGGCCTTTGCTAAAAACATCCTCAATCTGATTGAGGTAGGTTTGCTGAGGTCGACCCCTTCCAACTCTTCCATCCACACTCCTCTTATATACTTGTTTCGTCTATCTCCTTTCGTTCATCCTCTCTATATGTCCAAATCATCTCAACATACCTTTCTCAATCCTCGACACTACATCTTCTTTCACTCCACAATGTTCCCTAAAATTAACTTAATAAACTTTACTTAAAGTTTTAAGTCAACTTCGTACTGTACATGTGTGCCTGCACGTGGTATTTTGTGGAAGAGCCACACTCAAGG